CCATACTTCCTATCTTTCCTATGCAGTGGGATAGTTTGCTCGTCTCTTTGAAAAACTGCCAACTCTCTCAAACTGTTTTTCCCCTTAGACTTGCTTCCCATGGGATCTGACCTACCAAATCCCTGAGTTTGCTGAAGTCTGCTTTCTTGAAATCTATTATCTTTGTTGTGCTCTACCATTTCATGATCACTTTAACCCAAGCTGCCTAGAATCACCGAAGTGTAGGACTGGAAGGGATTACTGATAGATTACTCTATTATCACAACCAAGAAATGGCAAGTTAGGCACTAGCCTCAAGTGCAACCCAGTTTTACCTTCTTAAAGCAAGTGTTTTGAACTGTTTAGGACTCAGGGTCAGTGTTCTCTCAAGTGCCAGTTTTAATTTGAACATTTTCAAAAAAAGTACTGTACTTAAAACTCATTTTTCAACAGTACATGAAGAAATGCTCACTACAGTCTGTAAGACTACTCTGCTGAGCAGAATGGGTACACTGATCATTTAATGAAAAAACAGTGTATGTTTTCTATATTTCTTATTTCTTACTACAATATATTTATTCTGGAAAACTGAAATCAATCACGTCCAGAAGCAATCTGACGTTTGACTGAGAAGTATTACAGAGCAGTATCTCATTTATAACATCCACCAGGCTGTGAGTAAATGTAGTGTAAAATAAGCTTCCAGACAAAAGTGGTATATCAAAGAAAGTTTCTCAATTCAGGACAGACTGCAATAGCCCAAAGACTTAAGTGAAACTATAAATTTAAACACTAAATTCATCTCTCTAAAATTCAGAGATTAAATCCCTGTCTACACTAGAGATCAAAATGTTTAAATTTTATTTAAGAAAAAAATCAGTTAAACATGGTTCATGACAACAGTATAATAGTAAACTACTTATACCTGATCTATACTGGTTAGTTAAAAAGGGGTTTAGGAACACTGTTATACTATATAGACAGTGTAGATCTCCTCCCTTCGATCAGCCACAATTTAAAGAAAAAAGGAGACAACTTCAACCTGCCATTCTGAACTGTGCAACTTCTCACCAAGATGTTCACTGAACTGTCCTCAGATGAGTAGGCTACTTGTCTCTAACAAACTCAGCTCCTATTTATTAAAGGGGAAATAAATCTCACTCAAAGTGCAGGGGAGAGGGAAAAGAAACTCCTTACTGTACAGTCACAAGTCATTTAGAGGACTGCGGAGAAAGCCAACCTAAAGAGTTAAGTTCTCTTCACTCAATTTCTCCTTTGTTAAGGACTAATTTGACAATTTTAAAAATAGTTATTTTTACCTTTAAAATTAAGGTTCTGAAGTTCTGAGTTTTTGCAAATTATATTCTCTAGGGCAGTGGTCTCCAAACTTTTTACACCCAAGATCACTTTTTGACTTTAAGAGCAATCCAGGATCTACCCCGCCCCTTCCCCGAGGCCCTGCCCCTTCCCCAAAGCCCCACCCCGCTTACTCCATCCCCCCCCCTCTGCCGCTCACTCTCTCCCACCCTCACTCACTTTCACTGGGCTGGGGTAAGGGGTTGGGATGGGGTGCTGGCTCTGGGCTGGGGCTGAGGGGTTCGCAGTGTGGGAAGGAGCTCTGGGCTGAGCCTGGGGCAGGGAGTTGGGATGCAGGAGAGGGTGAAGGGTGCAAGCTCTGGGAGAGAGCTTGGGTGCAGGAGGGGGCTCCTGGCTGGAGCAGTGTTGGGGTGCAGGAGGGGGTACAGGGTGCTGGCTCTGTGAGGGGAGTCAGGGCTGAGGCTTGGAGACCAGGAGGGGGTTCAGGGTGCAGGAGGGGATATGGGATAATGGCTCTGGGAGGCGGATGAGGGTTGGGGTGCAGCCTCCCACTGGGCAGCACTTACCTCCGGTGGCTCCTGGTCGGCAGCGCAGTGTGGCTGCTGCTAAAGCAGGCTCCCTGCCTACCCTGGCCCCACGCCACTCCCACAAGGGGCCAACATGCCCCGGGACCCCTGGGGGAGGGGGCACGTGGCTCCGCACGCTTCTCCTCTCTGCAAGCACTGCCCCCGCAGCTCCCACTGGCCACAGTTCCCCGTACCTGGCCAATGGAAGCTGCAGGCAGGAGCAGAACATGGAGGGAGACCCCTTAGCAGCAGCCCCACTGCACCACCGGAGATTGCAATCGACTGGGAGATCCTAGAGGATCCTCTAGGATCGACTGATCGATCACGATCGACTGGTTGGTGACCACTGCTCTAGGGAGAAAAATCCATTGAACTACTTTGGAGTATAAATATCCTTGCTGAATAGATGCTAGCATACATGCTAAGAAAAGCAGTTTAGTGTCTAGCTAATAAAGATAACGATCCTTCCTGCTGGGACAGTTACAGCACAAATTCAGAATCTATTTTACAGAAATGGTCAGAAATTCACATAAAATAGGAGTAAGACCTTCCTATAGCAAGAGCTACATTTAAGAAACTCTCCTTTAGAGGGGAGCACAAATTAAAAACCAATACTTCCAAGAGGGTACAACGGGGGGGGGGGTGGGGGGGCAGGAGGGGTTCGGGCTCCAGGGTGGCAGCGGCGCGCACCGGGGCCAGGGCAGGCTCCCTGCATGCCTGCCCTGTCCCCGGGCCTGTGCCACTCCAAGAAGTGCTGGATCCGTAGTTTGCCCACCCCGGTCTACAGATGATAAAAATAGTAATTCAGTATAAGAGAGGGATAGAATTAAAAAAGCATCAGTCTCCTTGGTTTGGAAAGCACGTCACAAAAATTATTTAGGAAGCACCATGAAACAATTAGTTTTCTTTAAAAACTTGTAACACAGTGTACTGCCTATAATAATAAGAGTTTCATAATCAAGAAAGATAGTTGGAGGCCTTTTTCTAAGATTTTGAGTTACAATTTGAATGTGCCAGCAGCTTGCTGATTCTAACCTCAACAGATAGGCTAAGATACATTGTGATAAAAGCTCCATCACATATGAAGGCCATAATCATTTAATGCCTTAAAATGTAATAAAACAAGTTAAAATGGATTGAAAACCAAATGAAAGGATTTTCAGGAGCAATGTATTTAGTCCATTGAATAGCTTTAAAAATATAGGCTACTGCACTCTCAATATAAAATTGGGAGTGCCTTTAAAAGCAGAATGACAGTATGTAAGCCATGAAAAATGAAAGCACTTTTCAGGGATGCCACATTTGTTAAGCAAAGGTTTCAGACTACCAGTAGTCTAGGGATGGCAGAAAGAAGCTCTCACTACAAGACACAAATACACGTTTGATATCAATATAGTACCCAAACTTTTCAAATAAGGGTATAGGACATTAAGGTCAAGGACATTAATTTTATCTTTAAAAACAGTCAGGAGGTGCTTAGACACTTCGATGACTGAGCCCATATACGGAAGACTGAGTGGGACAGAGCAACAGAAACTATGCAATTATATATATATATAAATAAGAGAGAGAGAGAGAGAGATCAAAGAAACACTAAGCAAGAAGTTCTGCTCAACCATCACTACGAACCAACAAGAAGAGTTTATTTTTATAAGTTAAAACTTGAAATAATTCAGCAACATCTATAATTAGGTATCACGTAAGTGATTAAGAGTAGAAATTTCAGCATGATAATTTGATGGAAGTCTAAGATAGATATGGACTAAAGGGTTCTGGCAAAAATTCTAGTTAGCCACTTGTGAAAAGCAATTTTTTCCCCTCTCCATAACTTGTGTGTAAAATACCTTTAAATTTTTTGCCCAATGGCAAGGATATGCGAAGAGATATTGTGCCTTGCCTGATAAGTGTATGTGATAATCTTTCAAGGCTACTATCTAACAAAATGCAGATATGTACATATTATGGAAATGAGGAGTTGTCATCCAGACACAGGTCGCTGAGGTACAGCAAGGCGATAAACTAACATAAACTAACACCTTGCGTCTGTTAAGCATCAAATAATATTCAATCCAAACAAAAACAATATCCAACTGCTGAATAATGGTGATCTTGTTACAAGCATATTATGGTACGTAAATGTTGATTACTGTTGGAAGGTCTTATCAAATAAAAATAAGTGATCAAAAACCTGACTCACCAGAACTGTAGTTATACGCTTTAAAGTTATTCTGTGGTAAACTATAACATTTAGGATTTGTTTTATTTTCAATAAACAATCAACACAGCAAAAGTAATTTCATATGTTCATAAACTATATAGACATGATAATCTTACACACCTTCTGATACATTAGTTCCATATAACCACTTTTCAACGTGTGACTACTTTGAAGACACACACAATGTGACATTAAAAGAGGTTTATTCATGTTCTTTCAATGCCTTCCTGACCAAGTACATTCAGTTTACAAGATTTTTATAGCTTCAACCTTGGCAAACTTGTGTTGGGACCTAAAATACAAGTTGGTTCTTTCCTTTTAATAAGTTAACATCTTTAACAAAGGTTCTGGGGACCAAATTTCTTCCCTCAGTTGTATCTGTGTAACTTCACTATCTTCAGGTTATGACCTCAGTGCAAGCTGTGCAGATGTAAGTTAATGTTCATTTATTTCCAGGCCAAGACAGATGCGATATTATATGTCTGGTGGTCAACAATAAAAGTTTTATGTGCTATAATTCTGAACCACTGTATGCCCATCACAGACTACAGATGAAAGTTCTGCTTCCCCCTCGAGTCTATCAATTACGGAAGCACCTTAACAAAAGTTATGACAAAGTTTAAGGACGATAATTTGCTCTGGCAGTTGCACCAGATGGAGTCAATGACCTAAATTGTCAAGAATGACTAGTGATTTTCGCATTCCCAATCGCATGCCTTAAAGGAGTCTGGTTTTCAATGGCACTCAGAGCTTCTTGGAAGAAAGAAAAAAAAAATAAAAAAAAAAAAAAAAAATCAGGCCTTTTAGGATATTGCATCAGGCACCCAAAAATCAAGGCATCCAAAATCACTAGTTACCCTTGAAAGCTTAGGCCAATATTACCTCATCATTTTTGCATGTAATATAGGATGTCAAATTACCTCAAGAACAGTTCAAAATGCTTTACCAAAGCTTTTAGATTTTTGTCAGGAAAGCACATCTTCCCCAGTATCTCTGGAAGTTTAACTGTAAATAAACAGAGAAATAAACAAAAATACTTAAGTCTACATTTTAAACAGTTTAACTGCTTTTACCCAATATTTGACTTAATACTCATAGAAGAGGAATATAAAAATCTTTCCCCTAGCAGCTTCTCTTCTCTTTCAAAAGTATTTATAATCACCATCACAAAACACTTACTGTACATTAGAAATATCATTAGGAAGTTAATACTATTACTTCTGTTTCTTGACATACACTGGAGATACACTGAAGATTATATATATATATAAAAAATCTTCAGTGTAACTGCTACAGAGCCAGCAAAGTGAGCTCAGAACTCTGTGGCTTCAGCACCCAACAGGCAGATTTTAAATGCTCATACAAAGAACAATTTTTTTTTTAATGTATTTAAAATCTAATGCACATTTTTCAAAATATTTTACTGCAACTAGACAACTGCATTAAACATAAAAATTTCCATTTTGCAATGCTGTGATACCAGTGTGAGATATACCAAGTTTTTTTAAATGGCTGTTCTGTAAGTGCACATGGGACCTAATAGTTTTAAATTATGAGCCAAATTTACCTGAGGCCACTATTGGAAAAAAATTAAAACAGGAATGTAAAACCATCAATTTAGATGTACAGCATACAAATTGTGTTTCATAAAACAAGGGTTATGTTTTACCAAACATCCGTAGCAAATGCTGAGATCCATAGATGTAAGAGGGAGGAGGTGGCTGATCGCTTTGGGGATAGTTCTCTGGCATCAGTTTCCAAGACAACACCTAAATACAACATTCTGGTTAGAAAAATATATCAAGGTGTGATCAAGAATAGTATAGCCTATAGCCTGACTTAATTCACACAGAAATCTGGATTAAAGGACAATCAGATTTTTTTAAAATATTTTCTTACATTCCTCCTTTTATTTAACTTTCTTGTTTGATGTTAAAAAGGCTGTTTAACACCATTCGAAGCTTTGCTGTACACACTACAATACTGTAGAGTCCATGCCTCCTAAACACAAATGCACTCCTGACTGTCTTGTAAATTAGCTTATCCAACCAATCCAGCACAGTTCTAGGAATAAGCATTTTGTTATGTAACTAGTGCTATAGAGTTAACAGCGGAAACGCAGAATGCTGTTTTTTCATCAGCACCTAGGAAAAAAAAGTACAGTAGCTCAATTTTTCCCAGTCACACTAACTTCTCAAAGTAGTAATTTTAAACGAAGTATTTTGCTTAAAGGTTTTATTGTGTTTATACACACACATTTCAAAGTGACTTCATTTTTAAAGTAAATGTTGGACAGACAAAAAGCCAACTTGGCCACAGAATGGAAAAGTCGTCTTCAGGGTGATGGGTGGACTGGAAACCAAGTATATAAACCAATAAGTAATGAAACTACTACTTTACTCTGAACTATAGAGATGCTACTGCCCTGCTAAAAAAAAAATGTTGCATTTTACAGGGTCCTAAGTTTTTTCACATAAATCTAACATCAGTTTGGGGCACCAATTGTGGAGATGATTCTTCAACATAGCTGTTACCTCACTGAATTCGTTATTTCTTCTACCTTCAAAGCCAGCAAATACTGCACTCCCTTCTTTGCTAGGAGTCAGAGTGATAGGTGATGACGACCCACTATGGACCGGCGTTTCTTCAAAAAGTAAACAGAAAAATACTTTACACAAAGATCCATTAAATATGGCGTTTATTTCATTCAGCTAGAAAGGTCAGTTTCTTATGCAGCTATTAAACAGAGTCAAAGCCTGCTGCTAAAACCTTTAAAATTTTAAACATAGGAATAAACTGAATATCCAAAGCACCTGTCACGAGTTTATCAAGTCTGCCCACAAAAAAACAAAAACAAAAGACCATTGCCCCTTCAGTTCTGACCTGCACCAATCAGTAAAGTCGGCAGCTTTTGTGTAAAGTTATCAAGGGGGAGGGCAAGTGGGGCAGATGGGTTTAAGCGAGAAGAGTTCCAGGGCTTGGTCCAATCCCCCAGCCCACCCATTGGCTTTTCAGCCTTCAGCCCTGAAACACTCTTGCAATACTTTAGAAGAGGGTCAATGCTAGAAAAACAAATTACTTTGTAAAACTGATATTGCAGAGTTGTGAAAGCGTTGTGTCCAAATAAATTTCCAGATCAAATTTGTTCAGGTTTACAAATGTTTTCTAACAGAAAGCACTGCAAACTCAATGGAGATGTTAAAGTCCAGCTGTTTTCTTTCTGGTTCATACATTATCACTGCTAAAAGACTAAAAAGCTGTCTTTAGTTGCCTTTACTGGAGAGGCAGTGGTCTAACAGGAGAAATAATTAGCAGACAACGAGTTTTGCACAGATCATCCTACCACTGGAACTATTAATAATTCTGGTTATATAACAACCAGAAAAGTATCCATTTCACTCCCGCAGCTGTGTTGATTCACCAGGGATAAAAATAAAGTATGCCTATATGTAGGGCCCTACCAAATTCAGGGTCCATTTTGGTCAATTTCACAGTCATAGGATTTTTAAAAATAGTAAATTTCATGATTTCACCTATATAAATCTGAAATTTTACAGTGTAATCGTAGGGGTCCTGACCCAAAAAGAAGTTGGGGGGGGTCGTAAGGTCATTGTGTGTAGTGGGGGGTTGCGGTTCTGCTACCCGTACTTCTGCACTGCTACAGGTGGCGGCGCTGCCTTCAGAGCTGGGTGGCCAGAGAGCAGCGACTGCTGGACAGGAGCCCTGCTCTGAAGGCAGTCTGCTGCCAGCAGCAGCGCAGAAGTAAGGACGGCATGGTATGGTATCGCCACCCTTACTTCTGCGCTGCTGCCTGCAGAGTCGGGCCCTCAGTCAGCAGCCGCCACTCTCTGAAGACAGCTGTGCAGAAGTAAGGAGGCATGGTATGGCTTTGCCACTCTTACTTCTGCGCAGCTGCTGGCAGGGCACTGCCCTCAGAGCAGAGCGCCCAGCCGATAGCCGCCACTTTCCAGCCACCCAGCTCTGAAGGCAGTGCAGAAATAAGGGTGGCAATACCATGATCCCCCACAACAAAAATAACCTTGTGACCCACCTGCAACTCCCTTTTGGGTCAGGACGCCCAGTTTAAGAAACTCTGGTCTCCCCCATGAAATTGGTATAATATAGGGTAAAAGAACACAAAAGGCCAATTTTCATTGGGGGGGGGGGAGAGACGACACCAGATTTCATGGTCTGTAACGTGTTTTTCATGGCTGTGAATATGGTACGGCCCTACTTATATGACTGAATAGATATAAGAACTCTGCAGATCTGCTCCTTTTATTTTTTTTTTAAAACGACATTATTTTTATTCTGAAAAACTATGACTTTATGACCTTGTTCCCTGATTTTGCTTTGGGACAGACAACAACATGGAATCCATTTTTAGAGTAATTTTTCCAGATGGTCAAATCTCACTTAAATGTCTGAATTAAATGAATTACAAGGTCAGAAAAGTCACACATGCTTGTGGACAATGTGAATGAGACAATTTGTGCAGACTTGAACTAAAAAGAGCTGTTCCTGTGAATGCCACTCAACCATCAGAAAGCTCAATTGAAAACCTTTGGCCTGATTTTCAAAGCTGCTGAACATCATGTAAAAGCCAGGCAACCAGTTTTTAATCCAACCACTTCAGACAAATCCTTGTAAACCTATTCATCCAGAGTGTCTTATAGAACAATCCTAGTGGCCTCCCATCTGGTGGGCACAGAGCCATTTGTGGCTGCCTATTACAGACCTTCAGAGCACCTCACCCTACAGCCAGCCAGCAGAAACCCCAGAACACTGGGAAAGCATTGGTCTGCAACTTTCCCCGCCCCCAGCCCCACCAAATCCCCAGACTAGTCAAAATCTGCCAAGAATACTGAGTCCCAGTGGACACCTCCCCCCCCCGGCCCACATCAGTGGGATGAGCAATCACCTGGGACAGCCTACAAGAACAGTAATACATCTATCAAGTGTAATGAGCTATGAGATGCCCTCTACTAGTGCAAGTGTGAATAAGTAAAAAGTTTCATTTGTTGCCCACAAAGTGGCATAAAATGAAGTGTACCTACTATTAGTTTAGAAGCCATAGAGAATATAGAAGGTTTTAGCTAAAAAGGACAAAAATAATTAGTGAACAGGACAGAGAAAGGGGAATAAAAAGTTTTTCTTCCAACTCAATTTACAGTTCCTATTTCTGACACCAAAGCATCATGGATATTATTTTTTTATTTTTAAAGGGGAGGCTGGGAGGGACAAGAGTAAGGTAGGATCCTTCATACTGGGCAATGGATTCTTTATAATGTGTTGGAAATGTAAGAAGCTTCAGAACAGAAACTATTCTGTACATAAAACAGTTATACTGGAAAGAGTACGTATAATTCAGCACACTGGAAACAGCTGGCGAACAAAAACATTCCAGTACTTCAGAAGTGCTTTGCCCCTTAAATGGAACATCCTGACCAGCTCTTCTCCCTTAACTCCCTAAAAAGTTACCTCTTCACAACCCCAGCATGCAGCTCCATCTCCTCTTCTCTGCCATGTGTCACAGCTGCAGCTTCTGTCTGACAGTAGGCCAGTCACCACTCAGGGTCCTCTCACTTAGCTGGCTCTCCCTTTACTACAATCTCACCTCTCCACTACTGGTCCTACCTACTTCCAAGTCTTTACCATGATTCTCACAGAAGCCATCCTCTGCCCACTTTCCATTACTTGCTTAAAACTCTCCCACAGTCGCTACAGATTTCCCATTTGTGCATAAAAAATTAGAGGCAAAAGGTTAATATAACAATAAGGAACTACTCAAGACAAACGTATTTGTTCTGCAGCCCACAAAGGTGTTGTGATCTACAGTAATATCATAAAACTGCAACCTACTCTTTTCCAGATGCAAAAACAGTTTTGGCATTGAAGCAGGCGTATCGAGATGCCGTCGTTTAGGTTGTGGAGATGCACTACTTTCTGACAACCTGTCACAGTTCGATGTATGACGTGTAGAACGCCTCAGAGACTGTAGTATTTCAGGCTCAGCTTTTCGCCTCTTGGGTGTTGCTGGCTCGCCTGTTGTAGGCTGACTGTCTGTGGATTGAGGAGTTGGTGGATTCAGCAGAGGTGGACTCGGGGATAGCTCCTCCTGATTTCTAGGAAATGAGGAGAAAGCCTCTCATATAATTATAAAAGAGAACTGCTTTCCAGATTTAAAAATAAAAAATCCTGTCTTCTCGGATCTAGCTAAACAATTGTCCAAATTAGGGTTAAAGTCTCCTTTCGAAAATTGGGAAACAATGTGGCTTATTATTTAAAAAGTTGCATTCCCCAAATATAAGTATTTATTTTTCAAATGCTGAAGCCCTTTACACCAATTAAACAGAAATGTAAACCTTAATCTATTCCCAAAATTTCAGTTTCCTTCTATACCACTTAGTTCTACCTTAATTTCTTTCCAAGGTTAGGTTAATCTTGTGGTTGCAACAAAAATTCCAAACCAGGACAAAAAAACCCCACAAAAACAATTGTTGGAAGAAAAGAGTTCAAGATTTTATAAAAGCAATTCTGAAATACAAAAGCAACATGTTATGATTAATCACCCTATCTATTTCAAAATGTATTTCAGTGCTCAACAAAATAACGTGTTTGCTGCCTCATGACACAATTCAGAGTCTATCCAACTTACCTGTTAGTGTTTGCTGCATTTTCTTTGATTGGAAGAAAGAATTTGGATGAAGTCACCTTCTTAAACTGTGCTTGCTCATAGGGATAGAGCAAGATCAATGGAAGAATGAAGTCAAAGGTTATCCTCAGTCCATCCACCATTTCTTTACATAACTCAACACTAGAGAAAAGGTTGAAAAGGAGGAAGAGGAGAATTCAGTTCTAGGTTAGGGAACCGCGGCCAATGGGAGCTTCGGGGGAGGTACCCGCAGGCGAGGGCGGCGCGTGGAGCCCTCTGACCCCCCTTCCCCCAAGGGCCACAGGGACGTGGTGCTGGCCACTTCCGGTAGTGGCACGGCACGGGGCCAGGGCAGGCAGGGAGCCTGTCTTAGCCCTGCTGCGGGCTGCCGCCACCCTGGAGCCGCTCCAGGTAAGGGGCGCTGGGCCAGAGCCCGCACCCCGAACCCCTCTTGCACCCTGCACCTCAACTCCCTGCCACACCCCTCCTGCACCCTGCCGAGCCCCCTGCCACACCCCTCCTGCCCCTCAGCCCCCTGCCACACCCCGCACCTCCTCCTGCACCCCAACCCCCTGCCCTGAGCACCTTCCTGCACACCGCATCCCCTCCCACACCCTGCACTCCCTTCCGCACCCCAACCCCCTGCCCCAGCCCTAGATTCATGGCCCTGCATGCAATTTCCCCACCCAGATGTGGCCCTCGGGCCAAAAAGTTTGCTCACCCCGGATCTACAAAATAGGGCAACTCTTATCTCACATGGGTGTTGTTAATATGGGTGAAAAACTGGGACACTCCCATTAATAAAGACACCACAGGAAATACCTGTAAATTCACATAAACAGACCACAGAATGGTGTGCAAAAGTATGGGAGAGAAAGGACAAAGGACTACAGCTTTTGGGAAAGCATTGTTTTTCAAAGAGTGCATACCATTTCATTATTTAGTTGACTCTTTGTGAACAGTAAGGAGGACGAAGTTTCTCTAATTTAGGTGGCAGATAATCCCTTGACTTTAATTTGCTTGTAAGTGACAAAGAGTCCTGAATTGTTGCTTTGAAGTTACTAGTTACAGCAGTGGTGGGTAACCAGCGGGCCACGGGCCGCATGCGGCCCATCAGGATAATCTGATTGCGAACTAAGACACATTTTGCTGACATTGACCGTCAGCAGGCACGGCTCCCCGCAGCTCCCAGTGGCTGCGGTTCGCCGTTCCCGGCCAATGGGAGCTGCAGGAAGCAGCGGGCAACAGAGACGTGCTGACCCGCCGCTTCCCACAGTTCCCATTAGCTGTAATTTGTTTTATTTTAATCAACATTTAAAAATCTAATCGGTTTTTAGCTTTTTTATAGTATCAATTAGTACACATACACTAGTTTAAATTAATACAAAATTACATTTAGTTCTCTATTCCTATTTCTGATGTCTCATGATAAGCACTGGTTTGGTCTGGGATATTGTACTGCAAAAAGAACCTAAGTATCATTATCCTATCAAAATAGTGAATGATACATGATAGTACAAACTGAAGCACTGCAAGGAATAAGACAATTCTGAATTGCTAAAACAGAATATGACAAAAAAAATTAAAGGTTTTTTTTTTTTTTTAAAAGGATTCAAGACTACACCCCAATGTTAACCTGAAATAGGACAGCCCATCCATTCGGACTGTTACTTTAAGAGGCGTTAACCTCTGAGCAGGAGGGATCATATGCTTCAAAAAAATCACAAACATGCCATGTATGGATGGTTTTATCTCTACACACATTTATCTTCACTGCATAGTGATGCTTGAGGTCAAGAGCATTCGGCAGCCTAATCACACAAGAAAAGTGACTTGCCTGTAACTGGTATCCTCTGAAGGCATTTTGTGATACACCTGCACTTTTGGAGTTTGTGCTTCTATAACTTGACCAGGTGTCAACTCATAAAGCTCAAAGTTTAACTTTACTTCAGCAGGGGGTGTCTCACACCAGCCCCTACAGTGGAAGATAGGTACCTCTTAGTGCTCAAAATTAGATTCCTGTCATGCAGAGGTGAAAACGCCCCATATATACAGAAATTCTTAACAAAATGGCTAAAATAGAAGCCTCGACTTATGTGACAGAAGGGGAGAGTGATGCTTTATTGTAATGTAAGTGTAGAATAAATACACTTAAAGAATTAGTTAGCTTAAATTCAGTTAAGGAAATATATGTGCTGTAATGAAAGGCCCTAACTAGCAAGTAGAAAGGAGGTCTTGAAAGTAATAATCTAAGGCCAGAAGAAATTAACTAGGGAGGATGTTGGTTCAAAGAATAACTAATAAGGTAAGGTGAAGTCTCTAAAAAGAGGGCCTCTGACCAAAAGGGGTGACTGCAGATAGTTTTAAATAAGAGAGAATCTGTCCAAGAAGGAGCCAGGATGGAGCTTCCCATCCCACAGACCAGTATTATTTTAAAAAGTAAAGCCCCATGTGAACCAGGTGCAACAAAAAAAGCTATTGGTCAGCAAGAAGGAGGAGAGGCCTTGGGGAGAAAGGAGGTTGTAAATCTTGTCTGGATTAAGACTGGAAATAGGGGTGAACTGTCTCAAATTGTTTGGTAGCTAAAGTAGTAATAGCTATGACATTATTTGTTTGTTGAAGGGTATAAAAAGTTATGAATTTGAGGGTTCTTTGTCAGACCCTACCTGATCATGCTGAAGAACGCCAGGATGAGAATGCCAAATGTAGGGGAAACTATTTGTAAGTATACTGATCACATGCTTATGAATGCTTTGTTGCTGTATTGGGTGTACAGACTGCTCATCCTTTGGGCTATTAGGCATGTTTAGAGCAATTGTATAAAATACCATTTGGCCTTTGGACTTAATAAAGGAATTTATGGTTAAATTAGTATTGTGGTAATATCCTTGTATTATTATTAGCAATTCCAACATCAACTCTTTGGATAATAGTAATTTTCTCATCTCTAAACATAAAGTTTTCCTGATATTGTTGTGCTGTCTTACACACTGGGGTATGAATCCACTGTATATGGATGGGCACAAAAGCACACATCATCTAAAACCTGGGCTTGAAATTCAAATCCGCTCTTCCTCTACACCCAAACAAATGGTAGACATTACTTACTTCTTTTCTGGTGGGACATAATGAAGGTTCATGTTGACATGTGAAGTCATTTGATGGTGCCGAGATCTTTCATTAGCTGAAAACGCTGCATTAATGGCAAAATTCTTCACATACGACTCCAAGATAGTTATTATATTTCTCTGACAAGGCAGTTTCACTAGCTGAAGAGACAATTTGATGACTGTCAAATAATACAATTATGGATTTAAGCAATGAGCCACAACATTAACTTGTGACCCACTGCCTAGCCTAATTAACTAGCCTATTCAGCAAAACTTTATACATATATTTCAAATTTGCTCCTTAAATTATACTTTTGCTCAATCCCTTGTGTGTCCAGTTTTGGGGAACATATAAATATGATAGCAGAACAGGATTAGCTCAATGTTCTATTCCAAATTTCCTAAAACAAAACCAAATAAAGATGTGAACCCCAATTTTACAGATTAATATATTGGTAATTCAGTACTCTAGGCATTTAGAAGCCTTATCCCCTGAAATCTTAGAAGTTTTGCTGTAAAAGCAAGTTAGCTAAAATAATGGAAATCACTACATGCAAGTGCATCTTTTGACTGCCTTCAGGTATTTTTTCATATACTCTCCCTCATTTAACCAATCATACCCGTTTTCTCCTGTTAATATAATAACAGTCTTCTTCAAGCTTTTTTTTCAAAACTTCAGGAATTTCTATGCTTATTGCTCTTTCTTCCATATCCCTTTTAGTGTGAATCTCTTGTTCTTCTTTCTGCAACAGCACAAATCAGTGTAAGAAAAAATGATTAGTGTTACTAGTTAATTACTGTAGTATTTTAGGCAAAACTAGATCAAATATTAAAATTTCTGCAAAATAGAAACTGAATCTAATTACTTGTATGGTAAAATACATGTAAGAGTACAAAATGTAGTTTCTTACAGTAACACCTTCAATTTATTTCAAAGTCCTGTTTTAAAAATTCTATTCATTTTTTCACTGTTTTCCTGTTTGCTTTTTGCTCTTTCACGTTACATTTAATTTAATAATAATTTAATTATCAATTGGGTCACTTTCTATTTGTTTATAACCAATTTCGCTCTCAAATTATCTCTCCTGCAGTGTTTAGATTACAAACAGCTTTCGCACACCTGTTTCCACTGACGTTTTTGTACAGTGGAAATATTTCTACTGGTCTTAGATTCTTACAAATAGGTCTAAATTTTAGCCTAATGTGAGTTGGCAGACCCTCTTTAAAGAAACCGTGTACATCAGCCATTAAAATCCTGATGGCATTAGAATCTGCTTCACCTGAAGAGACTAGTAACATTTTACACTAACTATAAATCCGGGTAGTGCTGTTTGCTGGCAGACCTTAAGAGTGGAAATAGAATAAGAGGAACAAGTCTAAGTTAATACATTTTGTATTGAGATCAATGCCATCTAAGGGAGTAAAACGTCATCTATGAGTTTGAATAGCTCTACTACAATAAGACCTCTGTTAAGAGTCAATAATCATGAGTTCTAGTCCTGGCCCTATGACTACATGCTGCATGGCCTTGAGCAATTAATTCACTTAACCTGTCTCAATTTTCCCAGTTTTCAATCATGTAAAGTACTAAGTATTATTAAAATTAAGGGAGCTCATAGAAATATACCATGTCTGTCCTCTCTTCAATGTCACTTTCTTCACTTTTTATTTCTTCATCGGTTCCTTCATCACTGTCATCAGAAGAACTACTTATAGCTGTTTAAGAGAGAAATTAGTTATCTTTGATATTTAGCAAATTTATTCTGCATATTACATTGGACATAGATTCATACCCAACAATTTTTCACTTTGTAACGTTTAATTCAAGACTGTTTGGTTTGGTTTTTGTAATGAGGTATAAACTAGAAATGCTGAAGGAATATTTTAAGTATTTTAGCGTGCAATAGTTAGGAAGCTCAAACAAACAGAATGTTCATATATCAACTTTAAATGATGAACATTCCCCAATATATGCAAATTCACAACATTTTTCTACAACCAGTAGCTCTTTTTAATTTTCACTGGACTCTAGTTGTAAGCAAAAGGTTTTAAATAAATATCACTTCATATGCCCAAATGCAAGTTGTGAGCAAGTTATACCAAATGCTGAAATGAAAAAGTTGTAAATAATAATGGTGTAAAGATGTCTGAATCAGAGGAATGACAATGGCCAGCATACTAATGAAGTGTTCACATTGCAAAACAATACAAACAGACCTTAAAGTTACTAGAAAAATGCCCTGGGCTAGATGGCTGATAGAAGAAAGAGGCCAGGAACAACAACCAGCATGCTGGGGGCAAGAAACACACCTCTTGACCATGCAGGTAGGGAAAAATCCTGTTGCCCAGAAGATCAGGACAAGCCAAAATGGTAACTGCACAAGCATCAGAGTCCTTGCCCACCAGGCAAGGACAACAGGAGAGGCTGGGGCCAGACAGAGCAACACTACTCTCAGATCAAAGGGTAGAGGCCAGATCTGTAAAGATATTTAGGTGTTGCTGTTCTCAGCATCGCAACAACTACATGCCTAAATCCCTTTCTGAATATGAGATTTAAGCTCCTAAATCAGTTAGGTGTTGACATGCTGAGAGCAACAACCCATAAATAGCTTTAAAAATCTGGGCCAGAGTGCCCAGAAGAGCTGAATGAAGCAAAGAGTACTGTCTGCCTCAAGGGTAGGGAGAGGAGAAGGATATCTTGGTGTAACATCTGCTCATTTTTTATAAAAACCTTTTAATATATTTCATATGGTTATATTAACATTCTAGCCAGTGCTATTACATGCAGATAATACCAAACCCAGTAGCAAATCAGATAGTTCAATTTTCACAATTACAGTAAAACTTGTTTTATGCATGAATTGAGGATCGAGTTCATAAAACTGAATATCTCAATTTACAGTAGATACAGGATATGTTGCAGTATGGTGCCCTGCATTGTTTTCTTGTCCTTCAAATCACTGCAAAGTGATTACCAACACAATGAAGGCACCAGAATGTGAAGGGATGTCAACTTGTTCGTCATCAACATCGCTTTCGTTATGTGTCCCCCCCCATCTACTCGGGAAAAATTGTTCATATAACTGGTTGTTCAGAAGTTTGTAAAATTGAGATGCTACAGTAGTTTAATAAGTTAACAATTTTGTAAATAGCATTATGCAAGTGTAGTCATCAAATCAAAGAGAAGACAACTCACAATTTTCACTGCTCTCATCGTTTTCCTCAGCAGGAAGGCTTTTTAACACAGAGTCAACACCAGGCAGCCGACAACGTCTCTTCTTCCTTCCCTTTCTTCTCCTAAAGAAGAATTTGAGTGAATTGTTCAATCTGTCATTACTCCACTTGTTTACTACTGCTGCCAAAGCATAAGAAGCAATGCTATATGCAAAAGCAAGAATAAAATATGCACAGGCAATAAATGTTTGTGATTGTATTTATTATTTCAAAAATAATTTACTTGAGGGACAATATTCGGTGGTGGACACATCAATGTTTTTACATTTTACTATACTCCTGCCACCCTGTTCTTCTCTGCGGCCATAAAAGGCTAGCAAGTATTACAGACAGATATTTGTTTTTGGGGAAAGAGCCCTGCTTCAAGTCTCCCCAAGGTACTTGTCAGTAATGTTTCTTCCGAAGGATGTGGATCCAGTACACAGGAATTTTATAGCAAGTCTTCTCTTTAAGAACTGGTATATAGTTATTTTGAATGAAAGCCATTTGAAGTCAAGAGATAAACATATTCCTTACATGCGAGCTACAGCTTTTCTTGCCAATTTACGTTGTAATCTGCGGTTTTCGTCTGTATCACGAAGAACATGATCTTCAGCTGCCCATCTATCCCAGCTAAATATGGGGCAAAAGAAAAAAATTTTAATAAATAGAAACTGACTTTACCAATAAATACTGAATGACAAATGTAGATTTACAGTCATCTACAAAGTAATATTTTAGTGCTCTTTAGAAGCAAAATCTGGAATTAAGGGGTACTATGATATAGACTTGCATCTTTTTGCACCATCCTTTGGCTTTATTTTGCCAGACAGACAGACAGAAAGATACTTTCTCCTTAACTTTACAAGTTGAAGTACTTGAAGCAACAAGATCATGTTAAGGAATATTCTGTCAACATCAGAATGTTTCCAGACTTCACCATCAAGCAACTCAGATTATGACAGAGACAGAGTTTGAGTTTCCAACCACACAGGGGCCACAAACCAATATGTCAACATAAATCAATTAGTCCCATAGAAAGCATTTATTAAAGGTATTCACAAAATAAAGATGACTGAAGTCCTCCTTTTTCATTATAGTATTATTTCTTCCTACGAAGGTATAGTAATCTTTATATTGAAATGTTCCCAATTAATATAAATACTACAATTATAATTACACTCAAATTATCAATGGGTAATCAGTGCAACAACAGAGAGAAATACAGCTTTATAATCCTGGAACCTAACAGTACCCTTTTTATGTTAATTGGAGATCTCCTGAAATTTAGAAAGGCTACTCCTTTTATACTCAATTATAATACTAAGTAACTTTAAACTGCCCTTTTCCATAATTATATTCCCACCACCTTCTTACTGGCTCTTTATATTACACTTCATTTAAATTAACATCTGCGTCAACGTCTTTCCTATACTATCAATATAGATAGCATTTTAATAAAACATTCACAACTTTTAAAAGTACTCGTTAAAAACCTTGCTCAAACCAGTTATAACCAAAACATAATGGTATTATAACCCTGAGCCATATCCTTCCTAACTCTTACTTTCCGATAACTAGGGTCCTACCAAAATCAAGGTTCTCTTTGGTCAATTTCATGCCCGCAGGGTCTTAAAATTGGTCAATTTCACAATTTCAGATGTTTGCATCTGAAAATTTCACTGTGTTGTAACTGTGGGGGTCCTGATCCAAAAGGGGATCGTGAGGAGGCCCAAAGCTGTTGTAGGGGGGTTGCAGGATTGCCATACTCACTTCTGTGTTGCCTTCAGAGACCATCTTTGAAGGCAGCAGCTGCGGAGTTTCCCGCAGCTGGAGGAGGCTCTTGGAGGTGGAAGTAGGTGCGATCCCCCCAGTGCTGCTGGGAGTGCTCCAAGCAGGGGCTCCTAGCTACTAGTCAGGGCCAGTGGTGGATTAAGGCATGGGCTCATGGGGCCCATGCCTAGACGCCCCAGACAATTTCAAAAATGGGTGCCCTGGCCCTGGCAGAAGCCCCAAGCCCCAGCAAGCGCTGTGGGGGCTGAAGCCCCGAACTCGGGCGCCCTGAGCCCCGGCAGAAGCCGCAGGGGCTGAAGCCCCAAGCCCGGGCAGGAGCCAGGAAGGGAGGGGCAGAATCCCTGAGCCTGGGTGGCCAGAAGCCCACGAAGGAGCCTTGGGGGGCAGCAGCTCTGAGCCAGGGCAGGAGCCGGGGAGGGAAGGGGGGACGGAAGCCAGGAGCTGTGGGGGGTGAAAGCCCCGAGTCCCGACTGGAGCTGCAGGGGGAGCAGCCCCCGACCTAGGTCCCTGAGCCTGGGCAGGAGCCACGGCGGGGGACGGGGGGGGGCAGCCCTGAGTCTGACAGGAGCTGCGAGGGATGGAGCTGTGGGCTCCCAGGCCAGGAACTACTAGGAGTGAAAGCCACGAGGCCCGGCTGGAGCCGTGGAGGGGGGTGGATGGGATGAGGAGGTAGAGCAAGCTGGGCAGGAGCTGGAGCTGCAGGGTGTGGCAGCCCCCAGCCTAGGTCTCTGAGCTCCGGATGAAGCCTGGGCAGCCCCCAGCCCCAGCAGGAGCTGCCGGGGGGAGGGTGGGGAGCAGCAGCCCAGAGCCATGGCAGGAGTTGCGGGCAGCGATAGCAGCCCCCAACCCAGGTGCCCCGAGCACTGGCAAGAGCCGCGGGAGGCAGACGCCTGGAGCCCAGCACTGGGGCTGCTGCAGCGCAGAAGTGTGGAGGTGGGTCTGATCTCCCTCTGATAACAGCTGTGCAGGGGAAAGACATGTCCTGTCCCTCCCCAGCCCAGCTGATTTTGGGGAGATCAGATTTCACGGGGAAGGGCTTATTTCTCCGTCTGTGATGTGTTTTTCACAGCCGTGAAACTGGTAGGCTCCTGCCCATAACACTATTTCCAACTTTCTTACACTAGCAACTTCCATTTCCCATACTCCTCTATCCTTACGCTAATTTAGGCCCAAAACCTAACGTCTACTTATTTCTTACCCTACACCATCCTGTAGGCTATGGCATGCCACTGAAAAGATTTTGTAAATACAAAAACTTTTTAAATAAAATGGTGCTCTGTATATTCTCACCTTCTGTTCCAACCATTAAAATGGATCAGATATTCTGGAATCTTTCTGCCCTTCTCATCTTTTCCAACAACAATATCAACAATCTGAAAAAGAAAACAAAGAATGTGGCATAATACAAAGATTACAATGCACTTTCTATAGAAATGAGTGTTTAGGGAATGGGTTTGTGGGCGCAAAAAAGGAATGGATACTTATGAGTAAACAGAAACCTAATGAATTGCCTTTGAACATCCACACTGTAGGAAATCATGCACCTTCTCCTGAGCCCATGGAACTACTAAGAGCAGCAAAGATGATAGACAATGTTTGTGTACTGACTTGAGATCTAAACATTGAAGAGACTACCAATAGGCCGTGCCCTGTCCTCATTTCCTATCCATCTCAAAGCATCCCAAAAAGTGCTCCGAAGAAGAGGGATGGAACAGTGTGGATTCGCACATTTGGACAAGTAGCCTTCTTATCTCCTTCCTGAGTTGCTTCTGCAGACCCTCAATACAGGAGACTAACCAGTAACATCATGGTACAGAAGGAAGATCAAATGCTTAGTTAAAACTATTGAATGCTCTTCTCGTGAACAGCATGTAGGGCCAAACTGCAGAATTAAGAGAACAATGCTTTGCGAATTTCTGAACTGAACTCCAAGTGAGATAATACGATAGATTTTGAGAATGGAGATATTCTTGATACTAAAAGCTAATACAGCCATAGCCCCTCACAGAGTGTGCTTTTATTCCATCTAGTACCGCAATTCTACCTACTCTCATAAACAGACTTGAATTCAAAGTACTTTCACTTTGATATCTCCCAAAAAACTAAACAATCTAGAAGATTGAAGGATTGCCTTAAATCTTGCCAAATAACTTAAAATCTAGTCTGGACAATTGTGCCTCACATAAGATTTAAATACACACTCAACATACACACCACACATATCAGGAGTGTTATATAGTGCTTCTTAGGAAAATCCCTTTAGAAACCTCATCTCTTCCACAATGTTCACATTAATCAAGTCAATCATATTAACTAGAGATGGCCTGGAATTTTCTGTTTGGGTTTTTTTGGGGCACAAAATGCAGCTTCCACAATTTCAGTGTTGCTGAATTTTTTCTATTTTCCACTGGAAAATCAAAACTAAATATTCAGTTTAATTGAAATATTTTGGTTTGCGGAACTGAACCAAAAAATTTTGTTTCAGGTCAACATTAATTTGTATCCACCTGTGCTGTTGCAGTGCCTCGTGTAGTTCAGGTGCTTCATGCCCACATTCTCGTCTATGGGCCTGGCTCCCTCACTAGACCTGTAACACATCTACTGTGATGCACTGCAGTCTTCTCACCAGTTGAATCAACGCAGTCCATCATAGGAGTTGTGATCCAGCTAAGGAGCCAGGGTCACAGAAGAGAATTGGTCTTTTTGTTTTTCTATATCTTTTGCAAATACATTTGGGAGCATTAACAAAATAATACACAACTCCGCCACACCCACTGTAAGGAGCTCCTACGGCAACTATCCCAATGGAACTCTAAAGGGAGCAGGTCAGACATACAAGCCTGGATGTTCTTATAGCAACTAAAAGGGCAGTCTTCAAAGAGAGAAGCTGATAAGTCCTCTATCACAGAAATTAAAACTGGACTTAAAGGTTTCAGACTATCCTTTGGGTGTGATGGGGAAAAAAAAATCAAAGTTGCTGAAGTCCCTGAAACTGGAAAGACAACAATCTGCACCATTACACAGCCTGAGTTAGTTGTTAATTTAAAGGGTGTTTCAATGTTATTTAGTTAACACCTCAAACCAATATTACATTTCTTTTTTACACCTTTTGTTTTACGTCAGAATGCCTAGAAATCAACCACTTAGCCAACACTATGGGCTGGTCTACACTGGGGGGGGGGGGGGAAAGCGATCTAAGATACGCAACTTCAGCTACGCGAATAGCGTAGCTGAAGTCGAAGTATCTAAGGGCTGGTCTATACTTACCGGGTAGTTCGACGGCTGGGGATCGAAGTTCCGGGTTCGATTTATCGCGTCTGGTCTGGACGCGATAAATCGAACCAGGAAGCGCTCGCTGTCGACTGCGGTACTCCAGCTCAACGAGAGGAGTACCGCGGAGTCGACGGGGAGCCTGCCTGCCGCGTGTGGACCGCGTCTGAACCGCGGTAAGTTCGAAGTAAGGTATGTCGAATTCAGCTACGTTATTCACGTAGCTGAATTTGCATACCTTACTTCGACTTGGGGGGTAAGTGTAGACCAAGCCTAAGATCGAATTACCTGGGGTCCACACGGCTCGGGATCGACGGCCGCAGCTCCCCCGTCAACTGCGCTACCGCCGCTCGCTCTGGTGGAGTTCCGGAGTCGACGGTGAGCGCGTTCGGAGATCGATATATCACGTCTTAACGAGACGCGATATATTGATCCCAGATAAATCGATTGCTACCCGCCAATACAGCGGGTAGTGAAGACGTACCCTATGTAATTCATCACACTGCCACTTTACCCACTCTGCTTCTGCTTAATAAAACAGTACCTTTGACTTGAAGTGCCAAATTAAGATGCTTTTACCAAGGAGGGCTCCCTAACAGTACTGTACCTATTAAAGGCTCATAGGACTTAACTCTAGCGTGGAGACTATGTTGCAGAATTGAGGGGTGGGCAGGTGTCTGGCCCAGGCCCGTTCACACCAGTCCTGTTTCTAGGATATGAAGAGTCCTGCTCTGAGGGGAGGTCTCCTCGCTCACAGCTTTTATTACCACGAGCGAGCCCGTGACTGGCAGCCCCCGCACAGCTGCCACCGTCTCCCACGCCGAGCACATCCGCCCGGGAAAGGATGTTAACCAAGCCAGGGACGCAGCTCGGAGCGGACGAAGCGCTTCGCTGGCGGCCTCAGGCCCGGATGCTCCAAGGTACCGAAGTGCCTGAGCCCGACTGATGCCCCAGGAACTGGGCGCCCGGACCGGGGCCGCTGACTCCCGCGCGGGTCCCAGGCGCTAAGCGCGGCGGGGAAAGGGGCCAGTAGGACGCGGGGCTCAGCGCGGCGGCCGGGAGGCAGCGGGGGCTGCTGCCCCCTGGCGGGGTCGGGCAGCGGCAGCAGCCAGGCCCCGGTGTGACGCTGCACCGCGCCGGGGGCGGGGCGGAGGCGGCGGACTTGAAAGTGGAGCCTGCCCGGCCCGAGGCTCTGGTGGGAGAGACCGGGGCGCCCGGCTGGAGACAGCGGACAATGGGGGGAGGGACCAGGAGCCCCTTGGGCCAGACCCCAGCGGGCGGGGCGGGGCCTGTCTCGCTGTGTCACACACACACACACACACACCCCGCGGCCGGGCGGAGCAACCGCTTCCGCCGACTGCGGGCCCGGCGCGAAGGGGGGGTGGGCGCGAGGAGGCCGGGGCGGGGCTGGGGAGCGGCGCGCGCGCGGCCGGTGGGTCACCTTGGCATCATAGAGCACTTGGGCCTTGGTGGGGTCGGGCTCGAAGCAGAGAACGCGCTCGCCTCGCTGGAACTTCAATCTCATTCCCCGCGCGGTCATTTGTTCGTCATGGCGAAGCGTGGAGAAGCCCCGCCCCCTCCGGGGATGGGGCCTGAGCTAGCCCCGCCCCCCGGCCGGGGACCCTGATGCGGGGCGGGGACCCGAGCCGCGGAGACGCCCCGGAGGCGGAGCCCCGCCGTGGGCACAGAGACGGGTCGGGGGGGCAAGGAGCGGCTGTAGCTCCCCTGGGCTGCAGGATCGACGTGTGGTGCAAAGGGAGCGTTTCTGCATGTGATGTGCCAGTCACCATCACTTGGAGGTTATGGCCCAGTTGCGCTCCTCTTCAGCCCCCGCTTCCCTCTTCGGTCCCAGTCCCGCCTGGGCTGCCTTTCAGGCCCTGGCTCCTTCCCTGAGTCCCCCCTCATAGTCTCCAGCAGACCCACCAGCTAACTCACTCTGCCTTTACAGTGGTAGCCGTGTTAGTCTGTGTCAGCAAAAACAACGAGGAGTCCTTGTGGCACCTCAGAGACTAACAAATTTATCTGGGCATAAGCTTTCATGGGCTAGAACCCACTTCATCAGATGCATGGACTGGAAAATACAGGAGCAGGTATTTCATGTATTGATGAAGCGGGTTCTACCCCATGAAAGCTTATGCCCAAATAAATTTGTTAGCCTCTAAGGTGCCAGAAGGACTGCTCATTGTTTTCACTCTGCCTTTGTGGGTCTTCCCTCAAACTGTGTTCTCAGCCCTTTGTACAGAAATCACCCAGTTCATCAGGAGATGGGGAAAGGGGCCCCTAATCCCACAGGGATGTGGCTAACCTACCTACCCTTAAAAGGCCCGCCAACATGTAACACTAGTGCTAACTTCACTATTGTATCTGCAGTTCTTAGGTAATTTAGTTATTTTCATCTGTAGTGTCAAAAATAAAAAAAAAATCAGCATCTGTTCTTGAGGACAATCTAATTATCCAGATTACACCTATAATGTGAAGATAATCATAGAGGAATCCACAACACTAAACAAAAATGAAAACAATTATTTTAAAATTATAAATTAAAATAAATTTTAATGAAATATATAATAATGGTATATATGACCAAAGACAATAGTCTTACAAATAACTCTATAAAGAAAACCTGAACAAACTTAATACTATATAAACACAAAAACATCCAAAACCACAAAATTAAATTTCCAGAATTTAACGTCCATTAACTAGAGAGACAGTGCATATAGTTACATTAAATTATACATTTAACACTAACCAACAATTGAAAATTCTACTCATGTGAAACGTAACCAAATTAATGTTATTGAAATCTTCACATTAGCATTTTATTACATGTATGTGTTCCAGTTTGCAATTTTGGAGCTTCTGCAGCACAGTCTCCCCATAACTTTCATAGTTGCACATCATATTTTTTTACCTCAATTGATCTGATAGTAACACATTGTGCTGTAAGTAGTAAGCACTTCATAAAAACCTCAATCATACATTTGCTCATTCCTCACTATGAAGCACTGTTCCCCTGTAGCATACATTTTGTTGTTAACCTCGTTCTGAAAATGGCTTTTTTCCCGAACTAGGAAAGTGCTCATATTGCAGTCAGTGATTCGTGATCTGTGTCTCAATCGTTTGGAAAAATGTTTTCCCCCTGCTGAGATCCCCATGGTTAGAAAGGTCAAAATCATTTGAGATACATGAAAACAAAGGTATATGTTTGTGTGTGCACAGTGTGGATTGCTGAGTGTATCAGTATATAATCCCTTCATGAACCTAACAAGAAACATGGACGACAATCCTGGCAAAGCTTCCCTCTCACTATGCGGCTAGTTTCACTCTGCACAACATAAGCCTGAGATGGATGATTGTCCCTCTAGATATTGCACTAAAATACCCCACAAAGAGAAAACAAATGTGTGAGGCAGTGACTTAAAGAACATATTTATAAATGAACTAGGGCTGTCGATTAATCGCAGTTAACTCACGTGATTAACTCAAAAAAATTAATTGCGATTAAAAAAATTAATTAAAACAATAGAATGCCAACTGAAATGTATTAAATATTTTGGATGTTTTTCTACATTTTCAAATATATTGTAGTCTGTGTTGTAATTGAAATCAAAGTGTATATTATTTTTATTACAAATATTTGCACTGTAAAAATGATTTAAAAAATAGTATTTTTCAATTGACCTCATTCAAGTACTGTAGTGCAATCTCTGTCGTGAAAGTGCAATTTACAAATGTAGATTTTTTTGTTACATAACTGCACTCAAAAACAAAACAATTTAAAACTTTAGAGCCTACAAGTCCATTCAGTCCTACTTCTTGTTCAGTCAGTCACTCAAACAAACAAGTTTGTTTACATTTATAGGAGATAATGCTGCCCACTTCTTATTTACACCAGAAAGTGAGAACAGGCATTTGCATGGCCCTTTTGTAGCTGGCATTGCAAGGTATTTACGTGCCAGATATGCTAAACATTCGTATGCCCCGTCATGCTTCAGCCACCATTCCAGAGGACATGCTTCCATGCTGATGATGCTCATTAAAAAAATAATGTGTTAATTAAATTTGTGACTGAACTCCTTGGGGGAGAATTGTATGTCCCCTGCTCTGTTTTACCCGCATTCTGCCATATATTTCATGTTATAGCAGTCTTGGATGATGACCCAGCACGTTGTTCATCTTAAGAACACTTTCACTGCAGATTTGACAAAACGCAAATAAGGTATGAATGTGAGATTTCTACGGATAGATTCGGCACTCGATCCACAGTTTAAGAATCTGAAGTGCCTTCCAAAATCTGAGAGGGACATGGTGTGGAGCATGTTTTCAGAAGTCTTAAAAGGGCAACACTCTGATGCGGAAACTACAGAACCCGAACCACCAAAAAAGAAAATTAACCTTCTACTGGTGGCATCTGACTCAGATAATGAAAATGAACATGCATCGGTTCTCACTGCTTTGGATTGTTATCGAGCAGAACTCGTCATCAGCATGGACACATGCCCCCTAGAATGGTGGTTGAAGCAAGAAGGGACATATGAATCTTTAGCACATCTGGCACGTAAATGTCCTGCAACGCCGGCTACAACAGTGCCATGAGAACACCTGTTCTGACTTTCAGGTGACATTGTAAACAAGAAGTGGGCAGCATTACATCCTGCAAATACAAACAAGTTTGTTTACCTGAGCGATTGACTGAACAAGAAGTAGGACTGAGTGGACTTGCAGGCTCTAAAGTTTTACATTGTTTTATTTTTGATTGCAGTTTTTTGTACATAATTCTACATTTGTAAGTTCAACTTCCATGATAAAGAGATTGCACTACAGTACTTGTATTAGGTAAACTGAATAATACTATTTCTTTTGTTTTTTACAGTGCAAATACTTGTCATCAAAAATAAATATAATGTGAACATTGTACACTTTGTAGTCTTTGTTGCAATTGAAATCAATATATTTGAAAATGTAGAAAACATCCACAAATATTTAAATAAATGGTATTCTATTATTAATAGCGCAATTAATCCTGATTAATGTTTTTAATCACGTGATTAATCAAGATTAATTTTTTTAATCGCTTGACAGCCCTAAAATGAACTTAAGCTTTAGAAATATAGTGCAATATCCTGGCCCCACTTACCTCAATAGGGCCAGAATTTCACCCATGATGCCTAAGTTACTTGTAAATCATGTTTATTTTTCATTTAAAACTGTTCTAAACAGATGATTTGAAGCCACTTTTGAAAATAATCTCCATCTCTCCTTCCATAGTTTGTTCTTCAATTTTTCTCCTGGGTTTTTCAAATGCAACTTTAATTATCCTTACCCCAATCGTTTGAAGCTCCCTCTTATCTGAAACAGTGTCTTGTCCCATGTCTTCTGTGAGTTCAATTCCCTAATTTATCTGAAACCTAGGTTATCAAATGATATTTAAATAACTGAGGTTGTTCTTTAGGCTTCTGTTGATGAGATTATTTACTTTTATTTTACTTTACTTAGCATTTAACAAACATGGATTTGGAAGATTCCCAGTTGAAGGGATTTCACAAATAAAATAGGACTACAAATGGAGGATTATTGAAGATGTGAGGGAGAAGGAATTGTTCAGAGAACAGGGTTTTAAAGAGGAATTTAACAGAGGAAAGGGAGGCTGCTCAATGAGACCAGCGACACTATTTCAGGCACAGGGTCACAGTACTAGGTGTGATAGTAACAATAGAATTAATAAAGCCAATAATGGGAAAAGGTAAGCTTTCGAGCCACAGTGAGCTCTTCTTCAGGCCAGAGAAAGGAAAAAGAAAAGCTCCGTGTGGCTCAAAAGCTTGTCTCTCTCCCCAATAGAAGCTGGGTCAATAAAATATATCACCTCACCCTCTCTAATATCCTGGGACCAACATGGCTACATCAACACTGCATACACAATGGGAAGAGACAGAGAGTAAAAGGTTTGGGAAGAATGTAAGTGGGGAAAACCATGCTGCCATTGATGGGATTCTGGGAGAAACATGGAGAGAGAGGCCCAATTGTGACGGGTTCACCCCTGGGTGCCGTCTGGAACTGGGTTACCTCTGAGCCCTCTGACTCACAAGCCTGGACTCCCTCTCAGCACTGTGCTGCTATGACAGGCTATAGACCACTCCCACCAGCATTCACACAGGCAGGGACACACCCAGCTACAGTTGCATGCAGACTTTGGCCAGCCACTGCATGAACCAACTATAGAGAGGCTGAAGCCAAAATAACCCCCAGTCCCGCAGCCTAGGACCCCAGAGCTGTACCATCCTGCCCTGATTAAAACCCTGACCAGTATTAATTTATTACCCAGTTCACCTCTCCCTCAATGTGGAGAGGAATATGCACAATACGCTTGTTTTAAACCAAGCTGAGATTTTCCCCAGACACTTCCATCAAAGGCACTCTGGTTTAGATTAAAACATAAAACAAGTTAATTAACTACAAAAAGATAGATTTTAAGTGATTATAAGTGATAGCAAACAGATCAAAGCAGATTACCTAGCAAATAAACAAAACCACAAACCAAACCTAAAATACTAGATAGATTGGATA